TAGCAGAAGAAACTGTCATTCAAGGTACGACAAGCACCGCCGTACATGTTAAAAGGCGCCCTTGGAATATACGAAGTCGACTGTAAGTGGTTTTAATGAGTACATTGCGAAGGTAGTTGGGATCGAAAGCCGGCAATCCAGTTTAAACCATAATCATCTTTCAATACACTATGGAAAAGAGGTTATGCCTCGTATGCCTAAATCGGATGGAATGGGGGTAGTCAGTATGGGACAGTCTTCGAGCTACCAGGGACCTAGACGTACCTTCTTCTCAGCGGGAGTCATGGCCTTCCAGAGTCTACCGGCTTCTTTGGAGGCATAGACAACAAATCGTATGTTCTCTGGTGTCTTGGCAGGATCGATCTTGCCGTTGTTGAGGCATTCTTGATAGAACTTCATGTATGCAGACAATGGACGCTTGGCCCTGGCACCTAGAGGGAGTTACGTTGATTATTGAGTGAAGGTGGCGTTATCTAAGTAAAAACGATACTTACTGCTTGGACGAGGTCCTAGTTTGGAGTGTTTCCCTTTGGATCGATATTCGTTGATGATACGTACATCTCCTGCGGTGAGACTAGCACGCCATTTATCATAAGTTGCACGGCGTTCGGCGTTCAAGACTTCAGCTTCAGACTCGAATGCCTAAAGGGAACACACAATATTTCAGTATTATGGGATCGCATTGGGACGAAACACAGTACCTTCTTCTCGGTTTGAGTCAAATTTTCCCACATATTCCTGATTATAGGCATGCCAGCTGGAGCGTTCGCAGGTTTGGGGCTAAGAGTCGGGAATATTCTCTTGACGAATAAACTAAAGGCATTTACACTACGAGGAGGCGCTCGTAAGGAAGCTGTAGAGATGAATTTCTGTCAGTTATGGTCTGTTTACGAGGAAACATTTGGTGCGTTCAACGTACCGTCGGTGCGTGGGGTAGCTCTCTTAGTCACGACCTTTTTCGCGGGTTTTGCGTGTTTCTTAACAGTAACCTTCTTCTTCTTCGCGACTACCTTCTTCTTTGGGGCAGCCTTTCGAGTCGTCGGTTTCTTTTTGGCTGCAGACGAGCGGGTTGTGGTCTTACGGGCAGCTGAACTTCTGCTGGTCGAAGAAGTCTTTTTGGTAGTCTTCTTCGCAGCAGCATAGAAATATTTGCTGGTGCTTGCAAATGCCCTAGGAGTTGAAACGGGGAATGCTCGACTGCGAGCAACAATGATGTTGTCAAGGGTAAAACGCCTAGGAATAGCACTAGAAAGACGCGTTAAAGTACTAGGACGCGTGACAACATTTCGAATAACGCTTTGCATGGTGAAATTGACGACAGAAAAAGTTGACCGCCGATCGTGGAGTGGTCTAAGGTCGAAGATAAGGTTGACATCGTAGGAGGGCTATTACGGGCACTGTTACTCTGAATAAAATAGACATATTTCCTCGTGATATATTTGTGAATAAAGACGTTCTCTGGGGACCTATCACCGGTGGCACCTCTACTTCGACTCTTAGCCGACCTTTTCGATCCCTTCACCTTTTCGATATGTCTCTGAACTCCGTCCTACCTTCAGTTCTGAGGGAAATTAGATTATTATGCTGTCAGACTGGAAGTGCATCCGCTGGCACCAGGTTAGGAACCTCGGCACTCCCGTAATCTGCTGGTAGGCTGATAACACCCTCGTTTTTCTTTGATACCAGGCATTTCATCCTTTCGGCCTATCCTCTTATCAAGAAGAGTAACCCAGACTTGCCTGTACTCATTCGAGAGGCTCAAGGAACTCCAGCAAGGGCGTTTGCTCGGTTTGGTAAAGCCTTTCCTGACATCGTTTCGCACATAATTCGCTCATATTCTGTTTCTATGCTACTAGAACGAGGTGTAGAGAGACACG